AGAATTTTTATACATAACATAATCATATTAATTAAAATACAAAAGGATTTATTTTTTTTTTTTGGTACATTGCCAGGAGATATTCTCATTCAACCTTCTTCGGGCACCATGCCCTCGGGGTACGGCCCGTTTGGGCTAGCCCCTCATTGTAACAGTGGACTTGAGGTAGAATTTGATCCCTACACCAAGCAATCCCGTAGGAGCTCAGCTGACAACTGAGCTACCCTTGACGGTTAAAGGATCTATTTTTCGGATATGATGAACTTGAACGTTGTGCTTGGTTAGTTACTTAGCTGTACACGGTTGCGTTCCAGCAGTGTACTGCGTTTGTTTTCTTGTGGGAACAAAGAGTTAGTAACATTATGTCCTGTTACCGATGCCAATTCTAATTTGAAAATGACAGGCAGATAGTGTACTTACTGTTAAGCCCTTCCACCTTTTATCGATACTTATTTTCTTCAAAATTTAGGATTGGCAAAATAGGATAATCCGACTTGACCTGATTTAACTTAGGTGTAATTCGAAAAAAATGAGTTGGGTTAGAGTTGGCTAAAAAAAAATAAGACAAAAAACCCACCTTAACCTGACTTGAGGATTGACTCGAAAATTGGCCTGCGCGTTAGCTCGAAAATTGCTCGCAGATTGGTTCATTTTCAGCCTATTTAAATGAACATGTAGTATTAATATATCAGCTATGTGGCTTCCATCAACTTAAACAAAGGGTAACAGAATGACAAGTAAAAGCAAAATGTTCTAGTTTCGAATTTTCTTCACAACAAATTTGCACTAACATCGAGAAACAATCAGAACCACTTGCTAGTAAGATATTTGAACCAAATAGAGCTAGCACAGCTAGGGGTGTGCAAAATAACAAAAAAACTGAACCAAACCATGAATCGAACCAAACCGCCCTTGAAATAACCGATTTTTAAAAATCAGTTCATGAACCGAATCGATTTTTAGAACCACTTTAAGAACCGAACCGAACCAAATCGAACCATTTTCAAACCGAACCAAATTGATTTTTATGACTTTATTTTTAAATTTTAAATTTTTTTCTTTTGAAAATAGGGTCGACCCGAACCGAACGGTTACCAATCGAACCGAACCACTTCCGAACTGAACCAGTTTTGAACCGAACCGAATCATTTAAACCAATTCGGTTCGTTTTTTCAAAAAATTCGGTTCGGTTCGACCCATGCACATCCCTAAGCACAGCTTAAGAATATAAAAATGACAGCGATGTGAGAAGATTATGGACTTAGGTTTAGAGAAAGAAGAAAGACGATGATAACATGTGTCGGTTTTGTCTCTTTTGTATATTTTATTTTGTATTTTTTTTTTTAAATAAAAAACTCAACTCACATGGCTCGTTTGACCCTCGAGTTGGCTCTTTTTTGCCGAGCTGGCTCGGGTCGGGTTGGCAGTTCATTTTTGCCAACGCAACCGATTCATTTTTTACAGGTTACAAGCCAACTGGACAGGTTGGCTCCTTTTTGCAAACCCTATCAAAATCGAAGTTAGTGTGAAAACTAAAGTCGATTCAAAAATTGACATTTTATGGGGTGTTTGGTAGGAGATTTCTTTTAGGATGAGGGAGAAAGTTTAGATGAGTTTTCTAGTTGACCAGATTTGATAGGAGGTTTTAAAAAATTTACTCATCATGCGGATTTGCATAGCAATCTCAGTTTGTGTGTAAAATTGAAATTTTTGTAATTTTAGAATTACCCCATCAAACCAAAAAGTAGGAAAAAACAATGGACACAAATATCCTTCTAAAAAACGTGCCAAAAGAAAACTGGAGAGAGACTTCTTTGTATTTAATGAAGGGTTAATTTGGTAATTTCATCTTATTTTCCCATCAATATTCTTTTTTTTTTATAACATTCTCATCAATATTTTACCTTCAACAGAATATAGACTCAAAAAATTTAACCCCATTTTTCTCGTAATATTTTGGCCTATCAAACAACTTTTTTTTAACTTTTCTACCAAACATATTCCTATTAATTATATTTTGATGGTAAACAAAATTTTCTCTTCTACCAAATACCCCTAAGCGGTCGTTTGGTTGAGGAGAAATTTTTTGAATACTAGGGAAATGTAATTACTAGAGAAATGGTTGGAAAGTGAGTTTGGTATGAAAGTTAAAAAAAAGTTGTTTGGTTGGTCAAAATTTTACCAGGAAAATTGAGTTAAATTTTGTGAGTCTTCGTTTGGTTGAAGGTGAAATGATAGGTAAATGTGTTGAAATACCAAAAACAACCCTTAGATATTTTAGAGATGTAGACATGTGTACTTAGAAGAGGGCAATATGGTAACACTCTTTATTCACCTTTTTGCATTTTAGCTAGTTTTCTAGGAATACCACATCCTAAATGGTAAAATTCTACTATGATTTGCTTTTGATTTTGCACATGCTTGTGAAGGATGGGGAAAAGAGAAGCATAACTAAATTTTTTTAATCTTTCTACCAAACAAAGCAATCATAGAATGCCACTTCAAAATAAATGGGAAACCAAATAAAAAACTTCAACCAAACGCTCCCTTAGAGAATTACAAATATAATTTGGGAAGGGAGAACTTTTGATTTTCTTGCATACAGAATAAAGAGTAAATCCCACCTTCTAAAAAAATAAACACGAATTTCAATATGAGACAAACATAAATAAATATTTTTCATATAACTGGAGATGTATTTTTTATATAATTATTATCAAAATTAAGGAAAATAATAGGGTCATATTATAAGAGATTATTATTTTGTTTCATAAATGTTTCGATAATTATGCTGTCATTATTATTTTTTTAGTGACGGATCCAATCATTTTATATCTTAGCATAAGATATATCTTTTTTACAAGATGAGAGTAAATAAATCTCAAAATTAATCATTGCAAAGAATATATAAGACGAGAAGTTGGGTCGACAAAAAACTGATAATCTACAAAAGGAAATTGCAGAAATTGTGAAAAATTAAATGCATACTTTCTTATTATATAATATATGACTAATATTTTCCATATTATAGGTGATGAAATTATTTTTTACATATATATACAAATATATACGGTTGATGTGAAGTTATACGAAGAAAAAAAAAATATGGATTAGCCTATGAATCTCATATGATATAATTAGCCTATGAATCTTGCACATGTGGTTGCAATTGCAACCACGGGTTTGTTACGGAGTGTTGTATATAGACTCGCAAACAGTTTTCTTCGTATCTTCTGCCTTCAACTCTTGGATCCCTTTCTTAAGCCTTACTCGTGGACTCAACGTCGTTTCAACCCAAAATTTTAATATATTATATTTACGGGTACTTTTATTTAACTCAGTTTTAACTAACATGAAATTTAATTAGTCATCAGTCTCACTTGCATCTTCAACATTCTGGATGTATCTTCGCGACCAAAACTTTGCAAATTATTCAATTATTTAGTATCTGAAATCAATATGGATTATGGAATGTAATTAAATTTGGTCTAAATGACACAAAAATATCTCTCTCAAAAAATAAATAATGACAATTTTTTTTATAACCTAAGAAAAATTGTAGTTAAAATAAGCCCTTTTATTTGTGAAGAAAGCAATATTTACACAATATTTTAGATAATATACGCCTTACATTTCTTACAATTGTTTAGATAATAATTGTGTTCTATCATATTTTCATATGAAAAGACATTTTAAATGATATAATTTTGTATTATTTTAAAAGAAACGATATGGTTTTAGTAAATACTTTATATTTTATACATTCTTTATATTTAGTAAAATTAGGAAGAGAGATATTTATCAAAAAAAAAAAAAAAAAATTAGGAAGAGAGATAAAGTAGATGAGAGAGAAGGTAAAAATCAACAATTATGCATCGAAACTATCTTTTCAACTAAAATGTAAAATTGTGTCATTTTTTTGTGGTAAATAAAATTGTATTATTTAAAATGACAAATAATTTTCTCTTTTCTTATATTTACATAATTATTTTCATTAAAACCCTATACGAGTAATAATTAAAATTAAATTGTTAGACTTGAAGAGTAACAAAATTATAATTTAGATATTACCAAGCACGTACATTACCTGATAAATGATTCTTCCAACTTAATTAGTGGTCTTAAATTCAAGTCTTGGGATCAATATTGTTAAAATCGAGAGAGAATTAAAAAATCGTAAAATATAAAATCGTAATGTAAAAAAATCGTAAAAAATTATAAAAACGTAAAAGCATTTGGAATATTAGTAAAATCGTTTTGGTGAAAAAAAATCGTAAAAACATAAAATCGTAATGATAAATCGAGATTTTAACAACAATGCTTGGATGTGATCCTAGTCGAATTAATTAAATAATGGATAAATTTCATCAAAAGGTAAAACTGTCATTTTATGAAATTAACGAGGTTATGTTTGTTAATAGAAAACAAATTTTATTTCAAGGAACATGCAATCACCAAATTTAATAGAAAAGAACAGTGATTCCTGAATCTGCGGAACAAGGAATGGAATAGAGATCCAGTTTCGTATATATTTTTCTTTTTCTTACAAACATAGAAACGTTCATTCTACGAAACAAAATATTAAAGTAATAAAAGTTGATCCATTCTAAAGTTTAGAACTAATTAAATTGCTATAATTTTTTTGTAATCAAGTGTTTGCATGATCTGGCAGTTCAGCATGATTATTGAATTGATTGCAATTTGTTTGTATTGTGAGTTTTGTTTTAGCCCATAGAAACCGAGATATTGATATGCGATTTTTTTGTTTAAAAAAAGTGTTGAATGAAAACGACCATTACGTTAATTAATCTTGATTAACATTTTTTTTTTTAATATTTGGTCATTAAAAAAAAAAAAAAAAAAGTGACGGCGTAAGAGAGAGAGGACGTGAAGGGTAAGAAAATATCATATATGGTTTGCTATCATCACCATACAAATCCAACATTACCCTGTTTTCATTCAAACTTCAATAAACGACGACCATTTACACTTCATCTCTTCGTCACTTCAACTTCAATTTCAACACCACTCTCTCTCTCTCTCTCTCTTCTCTATATGCACACGAAGTGAAGAAAGAATGGCAAACACTAACTGTGCAACCCTACTTCACAATTTCACATCAAAAAAACCAAACAAGTTGTTCACCTATCTCTACTTCATCACCTTCCTCACCTTCCTCTGTACCCTCTTCTACCTCCTCGGCCGCTGGCAGCACTACCCTTCCGCCGCCACCATCGCCGCCGCTGGCTATGTCGTCTCCGGCGGCGAGTCCCCCATATGCTTACAACACAACAACTCCGCCGCCTCCGCCGCCATCACCACCGCCCCATCATTCACCAAGCTCGACTTCGCCGCCCACCACTTCGTTCCTGACCCGCCGCCAACGGCGGCGCGTGGACCCCACCTCCCTCCCTGCGATCCCTCTTTCTCCGAGTATACTCCCTGCGAGGACGCGAAGAGGTCGCTGAAGTTTCCCAGGGGAAGGCTAATGTATAGAGAGAGGCACTGTCCTGCGTCGGAGGAGATTCTCCGGTGTCGGATTCCGGCGCCGCACGGGTACAGGTTGCCGCTGCCGTGGCCGGCGAGTCGCGACTCGGCGTGGTACGCGAACGTGCCTCATAAGGAGTTGACTGTGGAGAAGAAAAACCAGAACTGGGTCCGGTTCGAAGGGGAACGGTTCAAGTTCCCCGGTGGTGGGACCATGTTTCCACGTGGCGCCAGCGCATACATCGATGATATTGGGAAGCTGATCAATCTCAGAGATGGGTCTATCAGAACCGCCATTGACACTGGTTGTGGGGTATGTATGTTAATTCTCGAACCGTTTTCCCGGTTCTGTTTTTCCTGAACCGGTTCCATATCATGTCTGCTTTTCCATTTCTTTTTCTTTTTCAATTTTTGGGTTTATTTTGATGGTTGAACGGGCCGGTTTATTAGTCAACCTGGTTGTTCGGTTCACTTAACATGTTAACCTTTTATGGGTAGGTTGACAACTTCATAGAATATTGAATCCCTTTGCATCAGTGGTCGGGACTCGGGTGGGCCCAACTTCAAGCATCCACCTAATCAACATAGATATTTCCATTTTTTGTTTCTTCCTCTTTGTGGTAGTAATTTGAGTGTTCTTTTTAAAAAATTAAAAATTAAAATAACAATGTGGGTTAGATGAGATTTCAAATCATATTTGTTTCTTTCTTTGGGTCCAGATAATGGGTATTTTTGGGAGCATATTAAATTCTTGTGCTTGATTTGGCTGTCCTATATCCTTCAAGAATGACGAAATTTCCTATGAAGTAGTTGTAGATCTCAGAGGGACTTTATTATAATACGATGAATATGGGTGTTTTAAAATGCAATGAATGCTGGTAAGATAATTTTTTGTTATTTAGTAAAGTTTCATGAGTTTTACAAAATAATTTACATCAACCTTTGCTAATGGGTCAGCAAAAAATTTAACTCGATAATAATATGGAGAGGATAAAAAATGTGAAGCCTTATTGTTGATCTCAATGAGTGAAAGGGAATTAAGGAACATTGGTAAGAAATTGGGGCATTGTGACTTTTTTTTTAAGAAATTGGCTTTTAAACAGATGGAGGGTGAATTGGTTGTCATAAATAATATCAGTCATATATGCAGGTCAGTGAGGCTCCTTGTATTAAATTGATGCACGGCCTCTGTGTTTTACATCAAATTCTGCTTTATTGACTGAATCAAATCCAAGTAGGTCTTTCACTTGGGCCAAATTTTTTCCTATGTAGTAACGGATTTATGATTTTTATGTTGTAAGATATAAAAATTATCTGATATCCTATACATACATAAAAATGTGTGGGCCCCATATTTTATATTCTTTCTTTTCTTCTTACATGGCCCCACATAGGTTCCATATACTTTTATGTGTATAGGAGATAAAATTATCTTTTACAACATGAGAAATATTAAACTCATGTGTTAAATATCACAAAAATTCGAACTTTACCTTCTTTTTTCCTCTATTTTCCCCCTCTTGTCCGGAGAAGAAAATGAGGAAAAAAGAATCATCAAGAACTGCTTTACAAAAATATCTCCTTAAATTCTTCAAATTGAAGCAAAGAATAATCATTGAAATATAAAATTATGTTCTCTTGTCTTGTTCATTTGGAAGCGTTAAGCTTTTTATGCTCAATGATTTAATTAGACTGTGCACTATTAAACTACCAAACTTGCTTTTTATTCACTTTGTGACAATGAAAAGTTGCAATTTACGATTCAGGTTGCAAGTTGGGGAGCTTATCTTTTGTCCCGTGACATTTTAACAATGTCATTTGCACCAAGAGATACTCATGAAGCACAAGTTCAATTTGCACTTGAACGAGGAGTTCCTGCATTGATTGGAGTACTTGCCTCAATAAGGCTTCCTTACCCTTCAAGAGCCTTTGACATGGCTCACTGTTCACGTTGCCTAATTCCTTGGGGCCAGTATGGTACATCCATTAATTCCCTAATAGTAAAAATCACATTCTCATTTTTATTGAGTGTGTGAATGTGACACTAAATTTGTTTATGACTTTGCATTGCTTTATTTGGCAGATGGAATTTACTTAACTGAAGTTGATAGAGTACTACGTCCTGGAGGGTATTGGATTCTATCAGGACCCCCAATAAACTGGCAGAAACATTGGAAAGGATGGGAAAGAACTCGTGAGAGTCTCAATAATGAACAAGATGAAATTGAGAATGTAGCAAAAAGTCTATGTTGGAAAAAATTGATACAAAAGGATGACCTTGCAATATGGCAGAAGCCCACTAATCATATACATTGCAAAGTTAAGCGAAAGATCTTCACGAATAGACCCTTTTGTGAGGCACAGGATCCTGACACAGCGTGGTAATATAACATTTTTCTCTCTTACTGTTAAATTCCTTAGGCTATTGAATTTTGCTTTTGGCCATAGCTTTTGTGGTGTCTCTTGTCAAAAGAAAAAAGAAAATTATTCTTGCTGCCAAAGAGAGTTTAGCAGTGATACCAAAACCAGTTGTATGATAAAGAGACTAGTCAGTATAATCTGCTGTGTCAGATTTTAGCTTTAGTTAGTAAACCTATATTCAGTATGTACTACCTGTCCAACTAAGCTTGTGTTGCATACTTTGCCTTGTTTCTCACTCCATTTCTATAGTGTTTTGGACCCACACAAAGGTTTCACCTGCTTTGGATAACGACCTTTGTCTAATATAAGGTTAACCCCTTTATAAGCTTTACATGTATGCTCTCTTAAAATTCTAATTCCTTTATTTGTCATTGTACGCACATATACACTTCCTTTGGCTTTCTGCTTATTGTTTGTACACAGTGATTCGCCACCACAAGTGAATATTTCTCCATAGACACTGTTAGTCCACATATGACATATCCCATAGCAAATTTTTTTTCTTTTAATTTTTCCTTGTGCACATTTCCCTTTTGGTAGTTTACTTCATCAAGCCTTTTCAATGTAGGTACACTAAACTTGATACATGCTTGACCCCACTACCTGAAGTAAACGACATCAAACAAGTTGGTGGTGGAGAATTGCCCAAGTGGCCTGAGAGATTAACTTCAACTCCCCCGAGGATTAGTAGAGGAAGTCTGAAAGGAATAACGGCTGAGATGTTCGAAGAAGATACTCAATTATGGAAAAAGAGAGTGGCATACTACAAGACCCTGGACCCTCAGCTAGCAGAGCGTGGCAGATATCGAAATCTACTTGATATGAATTCATACTTGGGAGGTTTTGCAGCTGCACTAGTTGATGATCCAGTGTGGGTCATGAACATTGTCCCTGTTGAGTCTGAAATCAACACCCTTGGCGTTATATATGAACGTGGATTAATTGGAACCTATCAAAATTGGTATGTTTTTCTTCCATTTGCTAGGGAAAAGCCGAAAAGCTGAGAGTGATTTATTAAAGGGATTTATTTTTCTTATGTTACATAAGAAAGAATTTATCTCCCACACACACAAATTCAAGATGGGTCTCACTTTACTTTTTTTCTCTTTTTTCCCGTGAAAGTGGACCCCACCTGCATAAATGAGTCTGTAGGAGATAATAGTTATCTCCTACTGCATGAGAAAACTATTACCCTTTATTAAAAGGCAAGCAATATAGATAAATTACTTAAAAGTAGCTTTTTTGTATGCCTAATTAGATTAGCACTTAGCAGCATGTTCCTGGTTGATAATTTAAAACTTTTTATATAGTCAAGGGCCTATAGCAGCTTTCTGAAAAAAGAGGTCAAATTATGTGGGCTTAGCTTAACACCACTAAAAAAAAAGACAAACGCCAATGCACAAGTCTCCCCAAATTATTAGACTTATCTGATTGTAGTCAAATTCTATCAATTTTTGTACTATGGTATAGATAGAACACTGTTTCCCATATACAATTTTCCAATCTAGTATTATCAAAGTAAATTCTATCTAAACATTTGTTGTGGCACATGCTAGTTAATATTCATCACTTCCTACTTTTGTCTTCTCTCAGGTGTGAAGCCATGTCCACTTACCCGCGAACATATGACTTCATACATGGTGATTCAGTTTTTAGCCTCTACCAGAACAGGTAATGACAAGAATCAATTGGATGTAATGGCCAAATGAAGAGAACCTAGTTTTCTAGTCTAATAAGATTCTAAATCTAACTTCTAAAATCAATCTTAGTTTTCTAGTCCAATATTAACTAACTAAGAGTAATAGTAATAATTGCAAACTAATCCTAACCAATCACAATCATATAAGGTAATCTCGTTTTGGCTAGCTCAAAAGTTCCAGGGGGACAGCATCTCTTGTTTTGATTGCCAACTTTGGAAATTGAGAAACAACTTATTTCAATAGTGACTATATAAATCAAGATTGGTAAAATGTTCTAATTTATGAAATTAATGTGTCACAGATGTAATATGGAGGACATTCTTCTAGAGATGGATAGGATTTTGAGGCCACAAGGTAGTGTCATTTTGCGTGATGATGTGGATGTGTTGGTGAAGGTGAAGAGCATTGCAGATGAAATGCAATGGGAAGTCAGAATTACAGACCATGAAGAGGGACCTTTTCAGAGACAAAAGATATTGGTAGCAATCAAGCAGTACTGGACAGCCCCACCACAAGATTTAAACCAACAAAGCAAGCTATAGGATATGCTCTCTCTGGATGAACTCAAGATTGGCCCTGTTTTTCTTTTCATGTCAATTTTTCTCATGAATTCAATTCTTTCAAACCCCAATTTTTGTGGCTGGTGCAAAGTGAAATTTTCTAAATAAAATTATGGCCCATTCGTAATTTGAGGCTTACCAGTCTTTATTCAAATTTTAATATAAAGGGAAAGCTTGTAAATTGGTGGAACATTAACTGGTGATTGAATATTGATTGTAATGTTTATCCAAGTTGTTTCAATATATAAGTTTGTTCAAAGAAATTATGGGCCATATTGCCATAGATGCATCTATCTCCTTTAATAAAATGGACATTGACATGTTCATTAATCTTTGATTATTTATGTCTCCTTATCAAAAAGTTATTAAATTTAACTTCTTGTCATAACAAATATGTTCTATTTGTCCTTTCCAGAAAATATCCAAGTGGTTATATAGCTCGAGCTTCTCAGCTCTCCCCCGTCTATTGTCACAAAAATAAAAATAAAATATTTAAGTAATTTTTTTTTTAATGACAGAACACCAAATCAAATATTTAGACAGTACTAATAATTTTTTTTATTGCAATATTGAACGCTCGAAAAACACCAAAAGAGAGCGGCGGGGGGAGCACGAAATGAATATGATTTTTACCCCTTGCATCGTTTAATTACATTTTAACTTTTTTTTTTTGTAAGCCACATTTTAACATACATGCACACACAAAAAAATGAGAAAAGAAAGCATTGGCTACATATGAATAAAAATTGAAGACAAGGAAATTGATGAAAAGGGATAGAATGGACCGAAATAATATTAGTTACCATTGTTTAAATTACTTACAATAAGATAGATAGAAATGAATGAAACTCAATAAAATATATTTTATTTTATTTCATCTAATATCTATTTTTCTTTCTCAGTTTGAAGAATATGAAATGAAAGCAATCTCACTAATCTCCTTACGTTCAAAATGAAGACATTACTCTATTTTATTATAAAATATTCAAAAAAATGTAATGATAATTTGATTTCATTTAATTTGATTTCATCGTTTGTGACTTTGTGTAGGAAAATTGAGGAATAAAAAGTCCACGCTACAAGGAAACCGATGTTTGAGTTATTAAACGGCACACCGGTTTTGAGAAGATATTTAGGTGGTGTTTGGTTAGGGAAACCAAAAATTTTCCAATGCAAATGAAGATGGTTTTCTAGAATGCACTTGTTTGGTAGAGGGATTCAATCAAGTTCCCCATCAATCACAAATGTATACCATTCCTAGATTTGGTCATTGATAACCAGGCATTGTCACTATTTGCAAAGCCGTTGGGGGTGATTTTTTGAGGAAAGCTGGATAAGTTGCACTGTGTAAAAATAAAGGAGACGAAAATACACTGTGAAAAGATACTTTTATCGACCTTGTATGGTCAGCAAAGCCCGTGTGAAGTAATTCAGGTTAGAAGCTAAAACTTTGTTGTGTGGGTTGAAGTGCAAATCTCCAGACGGTGAGGCTTGATCGGAAGTGACATTGCTGTTCACTCAAATCTTCAACCTCTCCCCTTTTAGAACCCACCTTTATGGTGCTTTTGATCCTGTTTTCTGTAACTTGGAAATAGTATCTGCAAGATAAATTACAATCAGCATTCTATGGATGGATTACTATAATCAAGACAACCCTGCCATATGTTTATGCAACCTGCAAAAATTTAAACTTTCAAGCAGTACCATATCATTGTACCCTTCATCACACCATATCAAATATAATACAAAACAAGCGTGGTGATAGTAGTCTCATCAAATATACAAAAACCCTATGTTTAGGAGCTCGAGCGAACGATGCAATAAGCCTGGTCACCAACTTTGAAGGTAGCAAGAGAGAAAATGGTCACCGACGAAAAAAAAATTCAAAAATGGGAAATTACCGTTGGAAGACAAATGGCAAACACACCTACTTGTTTTTAATAAAGTAACTAATTCGGGGTTATATTGGTAATTATATCCTTTTTATCCATTAATATTTTTTCATCAACCAAACATACATTTTAAAAACCTTTATCAATTTGCCTGGTAATATTTAGCGCAACCAAACAACTTTTTTTTAACTTTCCTACCTAACTCACTTTCTAACCATTTTCCTATCAATTACATTTTCCTAGTATTAAAAAAATTTTCCTCAACCAAATGCCACCTTAATGGATTTATATTCATGTGGGAATATATATTTGGTATTGTTGCTGAGAAGTATCTAGCAAACCCTTTGACGTCAAAGCTCTGGAAACTTCAATTCGCAAGTCCCAATTCCATTTCGTTGGGCAACGGAGACTTAATCATGATTAGCATCACCCCAATTAAAGAATGGGATTAATATTTTTTATATTGTAATAAATATATTTATATCTACACACATCTAAAAATATATGAAATAAGAACCACGAGTTCATACAAGAATAAGAAAGAGAAAGAGAATATGAACGTTATACACACATATATATATATATATATATAATAACAATCATGGTAAAATTTCATAAAAATTAAAGTAACTACACTTCTAAGTCCTCAATAAAAAATACAGAACCCATTTTAATTTCTTGGGAAAAAAAATTGATTTATAATCTCTAAAATTTCAGTTCTTTAAAATTGTGATAACTCAAAAATTCAAAAAAACCCACATTAATTCCTAAAAAAAAAAAACTAATATAAATACTTTTTTTTCTAAGGAATTAAAATAAATTCGATGTTCTTTGAAATTTGAGCCATTCACTTAGCAAGTGGTTGCGATACTTCTCTTTTCTGTCAATCCCAAAGCTTCAACTAAATAAAGCTGGGAAATAAAAAAGAAAATAAGACCCACCCAATTTATTCTACTAATTTCAAACTAAAATCTCAAAAAGAAACTTATTCACAACCTAATCACTCTAAATTTGGAATGAAAGATACACCTAGGAATTAGAAAAAAGCTCCATCAAATGATCAAGCATGTTTGGCCAATAGCCAACTCTTTCATATCCAAATATAATAGTTGACAAGTAACGTGGAGATCTGTATAGACAGAGATAACATCGACTTTTGTCTCAAAGATAATTCTTTTGTCTCTACAAATTCAAGGGAGCATTGTAATATTTTTGGGTGTTAATCTATATACACAGACCATGATACTTACAGGGAGATGGATAAAACTAAATCACCTCCAGAAACAAAGCCTCATTCTTGCTGCTGAGGCCTACTTCATACAAGGTTGACGAGCTATCATTTATACTGTAAGCCCGTCGTGGATATGACCTTACCTGTTCAAATATCCGAGCACTGATAGTTGATCATTTATGCATCTCAGTCACACGGATATCATATGCTGGCTAAATGCAATAAACGATAAAGATAATTTTCCACGTATACAAAAAGAAATCAGTTTAACTAATATAATTGTATTATATACTATAAATCCAAGAAAAAAAAAATTCTGAGTGCCATCATCTTTATAACCACACCAATGACCAAATTAATTTCAGGATATATTTATTAGAAAGTATATATAATTAAGGTATTTAATGGGTCACGTAAAACCGACAGGAATTGGAGTATGAGAATTATGAAAATCAATATAATCTGATATGAATATATGATCACTTCACATTAACGTTTTACATATTATCAACCAATACAAATAAACGCATTCCTTAGTGTATTTTTTTTGGGATACATTGAGGAATTAAACACATAACCTATTATATAACTACCTACACCCCTCATCACTATGCTAACCCTAATGGCTTGCATTCCTTAGTATTTAAGTTGACATAAACTGGAAACAACCATAATTCTCATGAAATGTGCGCAAACAAAGCCACTGAGATTCATCTTAAGCTATTTAGATCATATCCATCGGCCATGAAGTTGACAACCTTAATAAAAAATTATGTTAATAAAAGCAGTGTAAAAATCACCAGGGTTCGTCCCCAATTGGTTATGGATAAAAGTGTTGTTGATGTTGATAAGCACAACATAATTAGTTATCAATGAAATACCCACCGCTTGACAAAAGAATATGCACAACTAAACAACACCTTTAGTTACCCAATTGTCAGAAACCATGCCATATTAAAATAACGTGAAGGTATGTACCAAAAAAAAAAAAAGTGAAGGTTCAGTCCAGAAATCAAGTGGATATGAAAAGAAACACTTACAACTTTATAGGTGCCCGGCTTCACTGCTCCAAGAGTGTCTATGAAATTAAAAAGAAACTACAAGGTAGCAAAATGACCTGTCGTTAGCCAAGACAAGAATGCCAACTTTCACAGATGTAAAGTAGGCATATTACTCCAAAAAGCTTATTTCATAAAGTAAATAAGGGAAGGATAGAGAGGACTCTTTGAAAATAAAATTCAAAGGATGACCTCTAAACTGAGATAAGAGGTTATTTTCCTCCAGTTTCTTGGTAGGGCACAAGGATAATTCTTAAATAAACTTTGAATGAGTATCTAGGTTAATTTAAATCAGGAGTTCAATCTCATTCAGTATTATAAACGAATTTGATTCTAACACTAACTTTACCTGAAGCTTGTCAGTTTTGAGAAAGCGCCGTTCACATCGACCACCATCTGGCATTCGAACAACTATAGTAATTGCATTTTCATCATCTAGTGGTGGTTCCTTGGAAAGCCTAACTTCTTTCTTATCAAGCATGTTCTCCAATTCCTGTAACCATAAGGTGCACACAATTCTTTAGTGTTTTAAAAGCAAAGGACAAGAAATCCTCCTGCAAAAGCCCCCCCAAAATAAAACACATAAGAATCATGCACCATATACGGGACACAACCTGGAGACCGAAACAGTCATACAGCAAAATTTAGAATACAAGTGTCAGTTACATGTCTAATGAGTACTCAATATGAGTCCGGAAGACACAGATCCTTTTTTGAATTGATGCTTCATAGAAAAAGCCACAAATGCAAGAGACAAATGGAATCAATCAATATAATAATGCTCTCCAGAACTGATGTCAAGGAACTCCGCCTCCTTAATATGACCATTTGCTGAGCACCACACTGAAGTCAAAAATGTTGGTTCTATCTCAAAAGAGCTGCACAGGAAGAATGGCTTTGCATACTTCTGTGGAATCTTACATTTAAACTTAGCTATAGCTTGAACCACATATTAATCGCAGAAATCATATTGATGTTAAAAAAGGATTTTAGTTGTTCAAAATGAGAGTTTTAAATCATCAATGTCAATTTAATCCTCTCCGTTTAGAAGAAAATAGAATATTTAACTTAAATAACAAGTTGAATTCTTTTTTCAGCACATTGGAGATAAAAAATAAGACCCCTACCCATACCCCTACCCTACCCACCCAACCACGTTAGCAAGACCCAATTGGTTATTAATCTAGACCATTCAACCTTACATGGAAGGTCAAGACTAGAAGTTACTTGAAGGTCAGATGACTTAAACTTCTAACATTAACCATACATGGATGATCCAAGGATTAGGATTTAGCAAAAGGGATTGAAAATGCTTCTTAGCTAAGCTAACAGCTGGAACAATGTCAACAAGTCAAGAACTCAGCATATGAATTACCTTTCTTTCACGCACCTTTTTGCATGACTCTTCTTCCATTGAGGAATGGGTTTCAGCTTTCTTGAGAGAATTGAATTCCTTTTGTTTATCAGCTCGTAGCGAGGCTAGATAGTCAGCATCCTGCATAAAATTGTTGACACGTTATGCTATCCTGTCATGAACACTGATCAGATGGCTATTGCAGGCAAGAACTTAACCTGTTGTTGTCTCAGCAACTGAGTGTCAGTTAATAATTGTGATGTTGCACTGGACAAACACTGCATCTTGGGATTCACAATTTTTTCTGGATGATGTTGCAGATCAGGCAAAGATGAATGTTTGTGAGAACTGTGATTGGGAATTTCACCAAACAGTGCAGTTTCAAGCATCAATGCTTCATTAAGCTCATCAGAAGAAATACCCCACTACATTGCAAAATAAAGCAAGAAATAATTAGAATAACAATCATCAGTTTTAGACATAAAGCTTCCCAAGTGCATCAAATATTTTCTTGGGTATGGTACCTTGTCAGCAATAAGCATATCTTCATTTCGTTGAAGATGACCACCAGCACTGTGGTTTAATGGATGACCCATGAATGGCTGAGCAGCATCTTGAGCTAAATCTCGATTAGATGATGTTCCTAACTTTACTTGGAAAAAATATATTTGTCAGAAGAAAAATAAATATTTCTTTTCCAAGTGAGATTGGATAATCAATTACAAATCCTCCTAAAAACTACCTTCTGAAGTGCTTGCATTCGAATGCATGATAAGCAGACAACATATGCCAACTTAAGTTAATAAATTTCAAGTTTAATTGATATATCAGAAAATTTATAGTTCTATTTCAAATTTACAAAATTGATTCCATCAGACAATGACAGATTCATAACCTGAAATGGTTCAGTAGAAGTTTCTATGCATTTTAATAAACACTGGTTAGGAATGGAGATGGTAAAACTAGGAAGAGAAAGTTGGAGGAGCCAGAACCAGAACATATAACCCTGAGGGCTTTAAAGTAAAACATGAACTTTTGTGGGTGTGACAAAACATAATTACCAAATAAAAAGTAAGATGTAATTGAAACTTTTTCAAGTTTTGCAAACTTTGGAACGATTGGGCCCCTGCATCTTCAATGTAGATCCCCAATGCATGCATACGTTTCTGTCTTGTGTATGGATATGAAAAATAGGATCAGGTTTATAAAATACGCACCTCTTTTCTGCTTCTGCTATTGTTGTTTTTCTCTCCCTTGGATGGTAAATCATGAACTGCAAGTCCTTCCGTTTCTTTTTTTACTAGATGCTCACGCATTGCTTCCTCTTGCTCTGCAATCTAAATTCAATACAATTGAAACTAAAAATCAGAAATATTAGGGAAGTATAAATTGAATCATCGAATTAAAAGAAGATTCCAAAACCTCTAAGGACAATGACATTGCATGAGCTAAATCATCATCTTCTTGTTGAGAATGACTTTGAGGATGCCCAGCATCGGATGAACCCTGAAATAATGTTTCATTAAGAGGGGGGCCGGGGGGAAAGCATAAACGAATAGAAGTAAAAACAATGTGGTAAGATTTATGCTATGAGTATACATTAAGAACACCAAATTGCTTCAATGAAGAACCTTCTCTGCTCTCCTTTTTTGAGGCCTGTATAGCAGCTTGAATCATTGCTTCCTCTATATCATTATCAGAAACATGTGAGGAGTTTGACTGAGCTAAACTGTAGTCATTCTGATAATAATCTGTCCCATAAACTCCTCGACCATGAGATGATAAATTTTCAGTCATATCTGCACTTGTAGAGCTCAACCGTGATCGATAGGGAGGCTCAAATGCATTATTGGTCCCTGCAGCAACTTCAGTCGATTCCCCTGGATGAATAGCATGTGGTGGTAGTGGTGCATGACTTGTTAATGTCCCATTACACAGATCTCTAAGTTCTCTCCTATAATTTGAGTCAAGTAATAGTGAAGGTCTAAATCTTCTAGCAGCACTGAGAAAAGGCATAACTCCACGTGATCTAACATGGTTTTGATTATTCCCATCAGAGTAATTATTATACTGTGTGGCATTAGCAAGATTTTGCCCCTGACTAGGTAATTTAAATAAAAAGAAATAACAAAATTAGTAAAATAAAATGAAAATAGGAAAACAATAAAACAAATTAATAAAACATACAGCAAGTGAAGTAACTCAGTAAGATCATAAATAATCCAATTTCCAAGAACAGCATTAAGAAATGTTGAGAGGATACGAAAGGAAATAAAAGAAAATTCAAAGAACCACATTGTCATACATGTGTCTATCCCCTTCAATAAAATGGGCATTAACAGCTGCATTTAAATTGCCTCCATATTCCTGCAGAACAATTAAAAAAAAAAATATCAAGAAATATAAGGGTTTGCTATTTTTATACTTAAAAATGCATGGTTTTGGAGAATAAAAAACGAAATTATAATAAATGATAAAGAAAGAAATAACAGAGCCAAGGTTTTGGAGTAAGAATGTAACATTTTTTTTAGAGAGAGAAAGAGCGTTAGATGGCACAGATCAGATAAAGAAACAAGAAAATTGCAGTGCGTGAATGCGATGTAGCAGATGAGATGAGATGACCTCTAATTTTTGGACGGCAACGAACTCTGGTGCTCCGGTGATTCGCATGAAGGTTGTGACGGCGTTCGGTGTGGGCGACGGCGTCGCCATTGCTAACACGATCTCAGGAACCGACAAGAGATGGTGAGTGAACTGTGAAGTGTCTATTATTGGGATGATTATGGGCATTCGCGCCACCTTTCTTCAACTTTTTATTCTTTTCCATGTGTCACATCCTACCCAGGACGCGTGACTAACGTTACAGAAATTTTTATATACTATTATTCAATTACTTAATGATATTTAATATAATAAATTTAAGAGATAACGATAAAATTTTATTTCCTAAATACAGAACAGAAAAATATATGTCATTTAAGAAAATATAATTGTGTTATTTTATATTTTAGTCGTTTATTTTTGTTAGAATTTGTTGAATTTTATTGCGAATTATTAATTAATTAATATGTTTCACCCAATAAATTTTTACCGTTAATTGAAGGATTTAAAATGATACAAAATTAATCATCTAAAAAAATAAACATTTTTCTCATATAAAAAAACATGTTGGTTTCACGTGGAATCAAATAAAAAGAAGAGGAAAAAAAAGGTTTCACATAATTTTATATATATAAAAGATAAAAAGAAATTATAATATAAAAAAATTAATCGCTAAATTTAATTATATAAATAACATTACTAAATATGAGACAACACGAAGCTCAAGAATAGACTATTGTGACTTTTTTGACTCTTGTAATAAAAAAATATCACCGGTTTAATTTTCTTATAATTATTTATGCATTTAATGCTGAGTGAGGTATGTGTTGGGAATGTGTATGCTCAAGGAGCACATTATCTGATTATCCATATTAGATAGGTAAGTAGAGATATGTTTTATTTTAATTTTTTGGTAAAAAGCCGATTATTATTCTTTTCGTTCACCTAACTATTTCAATTTTTCTTCTACGATCTTCATGTGTAATTTATTAAGACATTGCCTATTATGCTATTATGTTTGGAAGAATAGATTGGCTGAAAAACCCAAAACGTACCACGAATGAAACGACCACGTTTAGTTATTTAGTAGAGCGGAGAAGGATTTGCGATTGGAAGTGGAAACGGAGCTCAGTGCATAGTCAGTTAGTCACAGTACTAAGAAACCCAGTGAGCCGCACCGCACCGAAACAAACCTCTGCTACAGAAACCCTAACCCCAATCCCAATCCCTCACCGACATGGACGGCGACGACGAGACCTCGGGTCCGATGATCGACGAAATCTACGCCAACGGCGGCGACGAAGACGGCGAGAAGCGGAGCCGGCGGGCGATCATCAGCGGCGAGCAGCTGGATGTGGAAGCGTACGCTGGGCTCTACGCGGGTCGCACGAAGATCATGCGGCTGCTCTTCATCGCCGCCAGGATGAACCCGCCGATGGAGCTGGAGGCGCTTCGCATGGCGTACGATGAAATCAAGAAGGGGGAGAACACGCAGCTATTGAGGGAAGTGGTGCAGAAGATCGGTGGGAGGTTGGGGCCAAACTACGAGATGGACGGGGCTTGGTGTGACGCCGTTGATCGAAGGGCTGAGCAGAAGAAGGACAAGCTCGATAACGAGCTCAATGCCTATAGGGTATTATTCTCTTCTCACGCTTTTCGTTTTGATTATTTTTTAGTGAAAATTTCCTTCTTCGTTTTTGCACTAAGAGCTTTTGTAATTAGATTTTAAACTCAAATATACTAATCTAAACAAACGTGTTATTGGTAACAGATAGTGTTTGTGAAGAAACTTTTTTCTTTTCTTTTCTTTTTTGTGATGGATTGAACCTTGTTTGTTTAATTCAAACTCTTTTTTAGGTTCAGAGTCCTTGGTGTTTATATTGCTATTTGATGAATTTTGTTGTTTGACTGTAACTTTGGTTTTTCTGTTGCATCTGCTTTTTACTATTGTATTGTATACATTCAGCAACCTTATCACATTCTTCGCCGTACTTTTTGATACTCAATGGTAGTTATTTATGGGTCACGTGTGTAGCTTGAGAGATAAAGAGTTGGTGTTTGGTTGATGCAAAAATATCTGCAGATAGTTAGTTATATTTACCATGTTCAGTGAACCTCTAGAGGGTAGATGGTTGTTGTTTACATTTGTCTGCTACTGGACTGGAAATTCTGCATCATCTTGTATTTGGTGATTGTGTTAGTGCTCGGATGAAATGTATCAAACATGCAAGATTAAATTGTCATTTCATTTCCATTTGATATGGTTGTAATGTAAATTCTGAAGTGGTATCCTGGTGGAGTTTTACCTTTTATCAAAGTGTTCGTCACACAAGAGTGTTTCTTTCCATAATTGGCATGGTAAAGACACTAGGTGGATACCACCCAAACAAAAATAAAAATATGAAGCCACATGAATAGGTTTAGTGATTTATTTCTGTTTACTGGGATAGCCTCTCCTTGTATGATGCTAATATGACCTGCTTTTTCCTTTTCCTTCTTTAACTACCTTAATTAAATTTATATTGCTGCTTTTGCCTATCTATTCCTTCAGCTTTCCTTTCTTTTTGCCAGACAAACTTGATTAAAGAAAGCATAAGAATGGGATACAATGATTTTGGAGACTTTTACTATGCTCATGGTCAATTGGGGGATGCTTTTAAAAGTTATGTCCGTACCCGGGATTATTGCACCACATCAAAGCATATTATTCATATGTGTATGAGTGCGATTCTGGTCAGCATTGAGATGGGTCAATTTCCTCATGTTACAAGCTATGTTGGCAAGGCAGAACAGGTACCAGAAGCCCTTGACCCAATAACGGTTGCAAAGCTACGATGTGCTGCAGGATTGGCAAATCTAGAGGCCAAAAAGTACAAGCTTGCTGCCCGAAAGGTCTGTTCCTTATCTCTCTTTTTCTGCTCAGAATCAGCCTAGACTAGAGCATTCTAGGATTACTTCATGATCTATGAAATCCCTGATCGGGAGTTTGAGGATTCATATTCATTTATCAGTGTTTAATGTATTATAACCTTTTTAACTTCAATGCTTATAACTTTTCCAATCTCATTTTCATTATTTAATGCAGTTTCTAGAAACAGGCCCAGAACTGGGAAATCACTATAATGAAGTAATTGCACCTCAAGATGTTGCAACGTATGGAGGACTTTGTGCACTTGCTACATTTGATCGGACAGAGTTAAAGGCAAGTACTCCATTATATTGATATGATGATTCTTCTTGTAAGTGAGTGTACTGTGAGTAATTGCTACATTGATGACATTGTCTTCATGATTTTATTTGTTTTGTTTTGCAGAACAAAGTTATAGACAATTCCAACTTCCGGAATTTCTTAGAGTTAGTACCTGAAGTAAGGGAACTGATAAATGATTTTTACTCAAGGTAAGTTGGTGCTTGTGCTCTCTTAGTTTTCTTTGTTGTTCACTTATGTCGTCCTATTGAGATTGGTCACCACACATCACTCTCTTTTGTTGGCTAAGTGAGTCGAAACTAAATTATTAAAGGTCTCAATTAGGTGGAATTGCACTGGACAGGTTAGGTACATGAAGTTCTTTGTCCATGATGCTAAGCTGCTTCTCTGGAAAAAAGTGATCAGAATTTTAAAACTTTGGATTGGATTGTTTTGCATGGAGAATATAGACATGAACTCATTAGACAGTTAGACTTAATTTATTTTTCTGGGGCTGGCTATCTGTTATGATTGGTTATTGTTGTCAATAAATCTTTTATTTTATTTTATATTTTGTCTAATAAGGGGGAGGGTTAGAGTTCACTGACATTTCTAATTGTTGTCCATTTGATTTGTGTTTTTCAAAATAAAACATTTTATAACAGTATTTTTCAATGCTCTTGAAGTGGTGAAAAGTGACTTGTTGCATCTTTTAATATTAATATTATTCAAATTATTTTATATATAGAGCAAATCCGTATGCATAAGGCTCTCCAACTTTGTAAGGATAGAGGTTACAGTCGATTGTAAGTAGCCCTACCTTTGCATTTTTTGCAAAGAGACTCTGCAAGGCTCGCCCTCTTTTTGCTATATATATATATGTATAAAATCTTACTCAAATTGTTTGTTTTCAGTGTTTTACTCTACTCTCTCTACATCTATGTGTGTAAATGTTGATCTCTTTTTTGAATTTTTGCAGCCACTATGCATCATGTCTAGAATACCTCGGGAACCTCAAAGCAAACCTATTACTTGATATACATTTGCATGACCATGTTGAGACACTTTATGATCAAATCCGTCACAAAGCCCTTATCCAGTATACGCATCCATTTGTTTCTGTTGATTTGAACATGATGGCTAATGCATTCAAGACAACTGTTGTTGGACTTGAGAAAGAACTTGAAGCTTTGATTACTGATAATCAGATACAGGTGTAGTTCGCATTACTAAGCCTTGCTTTTTGTGTTCTGTATCTCAACCGGGCTGTGTTTATAATGGCAAAATCTATCTTAGTATTACTTGCTTCTTATATTTTTTATGGGTTTAATGTTTCTCATGTCATAGGAGATAAAATTATTTCTTACACATACATAAAAGTGTGTGGGGCCTATGTGGGGTCATGTGAAAAGAAAAGGGAAAAAAAAAAAAAAGGCACACACTTTTATTTGTGTGTAGAAGATAAAATTATTTCCTATTTTATTTGCCTGTGGCCAAAATGATTTTAAATTGTGTAATGCTTCTTTTACAAGAAAATAGTCTGTCTGGGTTTTAAAAAGCTTATCGTTTATGGAACCTGTGCAGGCTCGAATTGATTCGCACAACAAAATTTTGTATGCACGGCATGCAGATCAAAGGAATGCCACCTTTCAAAGGGTTCTGGAAACTGGAAGGGAATTTGATCGTGATGTTCGATCTATGTTGCTGAGATCAAATCTAATCAAGCATGACTACAATCTGAGGGCATCAAGGAAACTTTGATATGGATTCAATGGGAGGAAGGTTGTTCTTTTATATATTCACAGGCATTGGTAAAGTGTAATGGAGCAAGTTTCTGCACTGAAGTTAAAGTTTGTCTTACCTTGTGGTAGGTTGAATCAAGGTTGCTGTAACGACATATTATGATTGCTTTTGTATATACTCTTTCATAGTTTAAACTAATTTGTCACACTATCTTCATTTCTTTCTTTCTTTCTTTGCTTATTTATTGTTATTCCATTAGATAGAACACCTCTTTTTTGTAACTTCATTGTGTAGAACATACTTGAGTCTTGATGCTTCGAAATCATTCTCCCCATAATTTTTTGCTCTGACAATTTATTCTCTGATGATTATGAGGGATATACTGCTTGGGTCAGTGAGGTCATTGGGTTAGTAGTTTGACTGCAAGTTAAGAAATGAGAATCCAAACAAAAATTAAGCCAATAATACATAAAGGAAAAAATGTTTTTTCTTTTAAATGACACAACTTGTGTCATTTTACTCTCATAAAAAGGTGGGATTCACGCTTTTATATTTTTTTATCTATTCTCTTTCCTCCTTTATCTATCTCTTTCTCTCATTTAAAATGACACAATTTTACATCCTTTAAAATGATACACACTTTTTTCATACATAAAAATAATTCATACAAAAAATATTTCATATAAAAGAAAATGTGATGTAATGTAACCAAGTTAGTGGTAGTAATAATTTAGCATCGTGTCAAAAATTAAAATTAAAAAATATTGGATAATAATATAAATAAAAAATAAAGAATATCACCCCATGATCGAGTTTGGATTTGGATCTGAATCTGAATTGAAAATTTGTGAATTTAAAAATTAAATCAATAGTGTTTTTGGTAAGTTACATTAGTTCGATTTCTTAAAATGAGATTTTAAGATTCTTATTTTTGAGGATTTCACTCCTTGTATCAGCACAACTTATAGATCACGTACATGACTATATGAGTGTGCATGCCTCATACATAGGGCCTACTTGGGCAAAATGTTTATGGCTTGTTCTCTTAGTCATTATTAGTGAATCTTATAAACCCAGTTATAACTTATAAATATCGGTCTTCAATCATTGAAATGGCATCTTCTGCATATCATTCGGAGAGTTTTTATTCTGCTAATATACACTCAGAGCCTCTGTGCCCTTAGACACCTCTTATCTTTGGTCTTAGTTTTCGCCTGAGAGCACAATCACGCTTACTCTTCACTGAGCTTTGATTCTTTGATCACTATTCACCATTACATTGAAATAATACACCTTATCCAGAAAAACAGTTTCAATCTCACCACACAAACATTTCAAATAGTAACTGTTATTTGATCAAATTCAAAGTGAAATAAATTAATCACTCAAATTAATATACACAAATTTAATTGGTTTGGTTTGATTTGAATTATCAAGCTTATTGAGTCATTTGAGGACATCAAGGAGGGGGGACAGTTCAAGTCTTTCACCCATCATCGTGCAAAGAAAGTAAGCAACTCACTTGTCCTAATAACATGCTTAGAAGTTAGAAGTGACCTTCCACTCTCGCTGCGACCAGAATTTGTGTCAAGAGTCAAGATATGAGATGGAAAATAAGGAGATTCATAGGAATACGGCGGTAAAAATCCATCATCTCATATTTTATTTTAACATAATTATATTATATGAAAATTCTTAATTATTAGTTAAAAAACCGTCACCATTTTAATTATAAATACAATCCTTTAGAGTGAGAATTGATCTCAACATACCTCCACCCTTTGCCCCAAATTATGAACCCAAACTCCTTGAAGATGGCAAAAAGTTGAGCATATATGGGGAGGAGCTACATGGATTTTGAATTTTCTTCATTTTATGTGTATTTTTTTTTACAAATTTAAACGGTTCGCTTTTTCTACAATCAATATAGATAACTTATTTACATTGAGCCCAAAACGACGTCGTTTTGAGTAAGAAATTAAGGTATTTTTTTAATTATAATTTATTTCAAAGTTATAATAGTCTTTTTCATTATAATTTTTTAATTTTTCAACTCAAAACGATGTTGTTTTGGGAGCAAATGTAGATAACTTATCTACATTCACTGTAGAAACATTAAAGTCAAATTTAAATTCTAGAACTTAACCAACCCCTCATTAATGGTGTTAGTACTCCAACTAAAATGATATAATTTCAAGCAATAGTATAGCTCAGTTAATAACACAGGTCGAGTAAACGGAGATTCAATTCCCAACAAATATATTTTTGAAGAGAGGAAAAAAGGTTAGTATCATTTCTTCCCTAATGTAATCTAAAACCTTCTTGTGAATTGTTATCTAGGCATCCGCTATGGTACACATTCCAAGTTGCAAGAGAACTTCCATACCTTTAATAACCTAGAGCTAGCAATTTAGGGCGTGTTTACTTAAAATTCTAACCAATGCAATTAAGAAAAAAACACGTTATTTTGGTCGAACCACATAGGCCCAGTGAATTGGGCCAACCAAATCTACAACATCTCATAAGTGAGCACATGACTTCACTATAGGGAATACCCCTCATCCTTATATAGCTCACCATTGTACATATTATGGTGAGGTGGTGTCTCATTGCAAAGTTGAGATATTGGTTAATGATTTTTGGCTCATTCTTTCTCTTTCATCGTTAGGGAATATTCTCCCTCCTATATAAGCTCATCTCTAACAGAAGAGGCATCTAATATCAAATATTTTTATAAGTTGTTACCATGCTAAATTTTAGAGTCACGGTAGCCTTATACACATCTGTCCTTTGCAGCCCCATCTGCGACAGCACTCACGGTAGCTCTTTGTGAGCTTTGATGTATATCACTGCGTCCATGAGCATTTCATACATTGAGATATTATACCCGTTAAAAGATACAAACCTAGTTCCATTTCCAAAAAAGCTCAAGATGCAACACGTTGCATCAGATTGTCTCTTTCAATGATTGTTAGAGGTTTTTTTCACTCAACACGTTGATAACTACTCAATACAAATAACCTATTACTCATTTATAAATGAAAATATGTTACACTTCTCCGTTTTAAACACAATCGTTTGATAAGACATACTTCACTTATTATAATTACTTTACACCATCATTCAAAAACAAAAGCAGGAAATTTAAAGATTCTTTTTTATTAATGTATGAATTAAAATAAAATAAAATTGGAAGGGCATATGAATCAAATTAAAGAAAATGAGATAATAAAAAAAAAAAGCATGACAAAGAAACATAAAATTCTGAACAATTTATTTTTTCTTTTTGTAAACATCCAATTTTGTTATTATACTCCTATCCTAGTTCCAATCTTCTCAGCATTTTCTTAATCGCTGGGAACCACGTGCTGTTACAATCTCCCTCCAAAGCATTTACTAAAACTTGAAGGTATGTCCGTATGTATCATCACATTCCCTCCTTCCACATCTTCCTTCAAACGGAATCTTCCCTTCTCCATTATTTATTTAAGCTACTTTATCCAGTGAATACAATATAATGTACTTTATTATTTGCTTCCCTTTCATTAATATTAATTTATTATTACCTTTCTTGATATAGGATCTATCTACCGTCATTTCAGAATAGAATACTCCACTGTCATTAATCAATTACAGAAGAATACTGTGACTTCTCACTGAATGGTGCAATACATGCATACAAAAACCACAATAACACACACAATCTCAGATCCTTCATCTCCAAATTAAGATCCAAATCTCAATCTCACACCAAAAGAGTCCCAACACACATCTCAAAAACCATCCTCAACTATAAACACACTCAGATAATACCCCAATTACATATTCCGACCCACCAAACAATCCCTCCCGATTTCAACCAAAAGCACCGATTTTTAACACCAAAATGCATCGAAACCCAAAACCCAGACGCTGATTTGAACAGATCCAACTTGCTTCCAAAATGGGTCACGTGAACCTCCCTGCTTCAAAGCGTAGCAGCAGCACCTTCATCAACATCAACCCACGTCAATGGCGGCTATTGGACCTTATCTCCGCAGCGTTCTTCGGGCTCGTGTTCCTCTTCTTCCTCCTCGTCTTCTCGCCTCTCGGCGATTCCCTTGCCGCCTCCGGCCGCCAAACGCTGGTTCACTCCGCCTCCGATCCGCGGCAGCGCAACCTCCTCGTGGCGGCGATCGAGGCGGGGCAGCAGCAGATCATTGAGGCGTGCTCCGCCGAAGAAGTGGACCACATGCCGTGTGAGGATCCGAGGCTGAACAGCCAGCTGAGTAGAGAGATGAATTATTACAGAGAGAGGCATTGCCCTCCACCGGAGAACACTCCCCTTTGTCTCATTCCACCGCCCAATGGCTACAAGATTTCGGTTCAGTGGCCTGAAAGCTTGCTCAAGGTATGAATTGTTTTGGATGCTGAGAAAGTGTTGGAAAGTTGGTAACTGTTTTTTTTTTTTTTTTTTAATTATGGTGTTTTGTGTTGGTTTTGCTGAGGGAGTTATTATATTAATGTTTTGCTACTCAATATTTATCGCATTTGGAAGATAGGAGTTTGTTTTTGTGGATTTTAGTTTGGAATTGGACTATCTGTTTGAGGTTTTAAATCGATGCGTTTTGGTTCTTAAACTGAGAAATTAATTATGATGTGCTATTGGCATGTAATAGATGTAAAGGTTCATGTCAGGATCACTTCACAAATGCAATGTCAATTTTTAAGTAATTGGTGATCTAATAGAATTCTCTGTTCAAATTAGACTTTAGTATGAAGTCTGAAGAAAGTGAGAAAAAGGTGATAGAGAGATAATAGAATAAGAAAAATGAGGAGAGGAAAGAGGTGAGGGAAGGAAAGTAAATTGATTATATTCAGCCCTGATTTACTAGTAGCTTATACGGAGCCCTGACAAATTGAGGATCCTCTGTTAAATTTTTGTAATAGTGGCTTTCCATTATAATAGCCCACTGTGGTTTTTTAAAAATAAATGGAAATACATAACATAGCATTGTTTTCTTTCTTTGTTTACCTAACCTGTTTCTCATTTACATTTGATGAGGTAGTTCAATGTTATATCATACTATATTTTAGATTGTTGTTGTTGATTTTCATTTAGTGATTCATCTATCTGAAAGTACTAAATACATTCTCTGTAGATATGGCACAGCAACATGCCACACAACAAGATTGCTGATAGGAAAGGTCACCAGGGATGGATGAAACGTGAGGGTCCACACTTTATATTCCCTGGAGGTGGCACAATGTTTCCAGATGGAGCGGTGCAGTATATTGAAAAACTCGGTCAATACATTCCAATGAATGGTGGTGTTCTGAGGACTGCTCTTGATATGGGGTGTGGGGTAGGAGCTATTTTCCATTTTTCCTTTTGAGACTATAGTAGATTTATTATTGTTTAACGTGCAAATATATCTCATGTTTTACAGGTTGCTAGTTTTGGAGGATATTTACTAGCTCAAAACATCTTAACCATGTCTTTTGCTCCAAGAGATTCACACAAATCACAGATACAATTTGCTCTGGAAAGAGGAATACCAGCTTTTGTCGCTATGCTTGGTACTCGCAGACTCCCATTTCCTGCATTTGGCTTTGACTTGATCCATTGCTCTCGGTGTTTAATCCCTTTTACAGCCTACAGTAAGCTCTTCTTTGCTGCCCACATTTGCATATCTTGCAATCTTCTAAATAGATGTCACTGCCCTAATGCAGAAACTCCTCCTTGCAGATGCAACTTATTTCATAGAAGTAGATAGATTACTTCGCCCTGGTGGATATTTAGTCATCTCTGGTCCCCCTGTTCAGTGGCCCAAACAAGATAAAGAATGGTCTGATCTCCAGGCTGTGGCAAGAGCTCTGTGTTTTGAACTGATTGCTGTTGATGGCAACACTGTGATCTGGAAAAAGCCAACTGCGGATATGTGTCTCCCCAACCAAAATGAATTTGGTCTTGAGTTATGTGATGATTCACATGACCCAAGTATTGCTTGGTAATTTCCAATAGGCTATTGCTAGTTTGAGTTCATTTTCCCTCTTACTACTTTCCTTCACATTTTGCCATGTTCAACATTGATAATGTATGAACCATCTATCCTTTATGCTTGCTAGTTACTAGGTCGGCCATCAGGGACTTACGGCCTAGCCTATATTAGGCCAGACTTGGCCTATTACACATAGTTAAATAGAACAAGCTTAGACTTTTAAAAAAACCTATTTAGAAAGCAGGCCATAGGTTTTTTTGTACATATCGGGCCTATAAGTCTACAGGTCGGCCTATATCATATTATTTATTTTAAATAGAATAAATAAAATTATTATTTTAATAATTTTGAATAATAAGATAATATTATTTTAGTTATTTTTTTAATTATGGAATGTTTAATAGGCTAACAGGTCTAGGCCAAAGCTTCTATTTTTTAAATATAGGTCAGACAAGACTTGTAATTTGGGCCTACACAGGCTAACAGGCCAGGCCATACCTAAGGTTTATTGCATAAGCCTGGCCTATTTAGGCCAAAGTCTAGCCTACCTTGGTCTATTTACACCCCTACTAGTCACTGCATGTTTCTGTATCATATGGACTGATAAGGATAGCACTCGGGTGAATGCTATCATTGTTTTTTGTTTACAGACTTCTCGTAGTGGTTACTTGGGATTCCACGATTAAGATGGTTCCTTTTGCAGGTACTTCAAATTGAAGAAATGTGTCACTAGGATATCTTCTGTCAAAGGAGAATTTGCTATTGGGATGATTCCCAAGTGGCCAGAAAGGCTAACTGCTCTGCCACCTAGGTCCAAGCTCAGGAAAAATAGTGCTGATGTATATGAGGCTGACACTAAGCGATGGGTAAGGAGGGTTGCGCACTATAAGAATTCTCTAAAGATAAAATTGGGGACTCCAGCTGTACGCAATGTCATGGACATGAATGCATTCTTTGGGGGTTTTGCGGCAGCACTAAAATCTGATCCTGTGTGGGTAATGAATGTAGTTCCAGCTCGCAAGCCGGCCACTCTTGATGTGATCTTTGACAGAGGCCTTATTGGAGTCTATCACGATTGGTGAGTTTTTGCTGAAAATTTCGAGCATTTTATCTGAAAAGGATTTTTGTGTTTGTTCTTTTGGCTTGCCTTAATCAATGGTAAAGATATCTTCCTTAACATTGTTGAGTATTGACATGACCTGAAAATCGGTTGTAGGGTGCAGAAATTGTGTATTTAGTGATAAAGAGTTTTCATGCTATCACTCCAAAGACTATTTCATTCAGCTAGTAATTCACAGAAATTATGTTTTTTACAAGTCAATACCTGGTCTTCATTTTTTACTTGTTTGCCATGCTCATGGCTTTGCTTTTCTGGGAAGTTACTACTTTCCACTGTATCTTATATTGCATTTTGCTATGTACTTCTGCTTGTATCAGAATTTCTCTATCTGACCTAGTTCTCATTTCAGCTTCAATTTTGTGGCAGTTAAAATCTCCTCACTTAAGCAGTAATAAATGACTCGGGACAGTAAATAATCTTTTAACATATTTTATAATTGTATGATTTTGTGATTTTAAGGAGTCCTCTATGAAAAAGGAGTCAGAATTTTCTGGTTATCTTTATAAAAATGACAACTGAATTTCTGAAGTACTTCACCTCTTTTAGACTTTTAATTAGGATCCTGCTTTAAGGCAAAACTGTTATTCAGTGTACTTGAACATGTATTACAGTTTGTAATAGATATATTTTTTGGATCTAAGTCGTTTGGTTATTGTTGCCAGGTGTGAACCTTTCTCAACATATCCTCGTACCTATGATCTGATCCACGTGACCAGCATTGAATCACTTATAAAGGATCCAGCCTCTGGCAAAAGCAGGTATTTTTATGCTAAAATGGTAATTTGAAGTCACAGCCTCTGGATCATATTAGTTAAAATCGCGAGTAATATCGTAGGATCATACAATCCTACGATTTTCTTCACCTGGACTGATTCAAAATGCCCGTGATGATAATGTGATTGAATTTATAATTTGAAACTTCAGTTGTTTTAAAATATTTTCTAACATGAACAAGTGGAGGAGTGTGAGAAAAAAGTTGCTACCTGAACTAACTTGTGGCTATTATTCATGTGTTACTTGATCTAATAAAGCCTAGTATACCTAGTATACCTTTGTTTTAAAATAAAAGATTTGTAATAAACCCTAGTATACCTTTGCTACTTGATCTACTTGGAACTAACAGTGTTACTACTTGCTAGCCTTTGTTGGTGTATGTTGAAGCCTCATACGTCCTTCACTGCATCTACGATATGTTTTAATATGATTACCTTTGTTTTCCTTTAATATGAATGTTCTATATCATTAATATTGAATGCATTTTAATATTCTATATCATAATTTGTATCACTTTTGATAGAAAACTATTTCACATAGATAACGAGCTCACCTTGATTGCTTCATGACTTCATTGCAGATGTAACCTTGTTGATTTGATGGTGGAAATAGATCGAATGCTGCGCCCAGAAGGCACAGTTGTTGTGAGGGATAACCCTGAAGCAATTGACAAAGTAGCTCGTATTGCTCGTGCAGTGAGGTGGAGGCCTACCATATATAGTAAAGAACCTGAATCACATGGCAGAGAGAAAATCCTAGTTGCAACCAAGACCTTCTGGAAGCTCTAATTCTCTTCCCACTAACATAGCTGTGTAATTTAGGTGAAATTTCCTTCTCTCTCTTTTGAGAATGATGTTTTCAAAGTTATCTTCTCTATGCACCAAAGCGATGCGCTTTTTTTTTTTTTTTTTTCAATGTTTATACAAGGAGAAAATTAAGGTTAGGATCTGAGAAAACGAAAAGATGTGAACAATTCGTGCAGTTTTATATGGAAAGCACAAGCTAGTGGTAGTTATATATCCTCTTAGCTATAAGGATAACTTGTAACTCAATGTTTTAATTCATTGTTGCTTATTTATTGAAAAACAATCATCACTATTCTAATTTGAAGACTCTGAAGTTTTATGTGGAAAGCACAAGCCACTGAAGCCAGTGTTAGCAATATTTTCTGTTAGCTATGAGGATCACTTGTAATTCAATGCTTTTTTTTTTTTTTTATCATCATGCGTTCTCATTCTTCCTTCAAATTTCTTCATCCAGACATACTATTATTTAAGGACAAGCTTTTTTTTTTTTTTTTCCTTGTGACACGGTTGATGCTGTTATCTGTTAGCCTTATTCGTGGGCTTACTGTTCTGGCTCATGGCACTTATGACGAGTGCAATCCTTTATTACATGTGATTCTAATAAAATTTTAAAATAATAAAGTTATGCCCTTGTACTTAAATTCCTTTGTGACAGGAAAGTTATGGATTTGCAAAAATACAATAATACAATCGATCTTCATTTATACCTTCGCAAGTTAAGAAACCTTGTACTTCCGCGTCTGCCCTTTATCCTTGTCCTTGTCCTTAAACTATAATTTGTGGCCTACTCTAAAGCGTTGGTCTAACAGTATCTAGGTCCTTCCATAATGTAGGGATCATGTCTATAATTGTGTGGCAAGACACTGGTAAGATAACCAAAAAAAACTTTCCACGTAAAACATGGCATGGGAGTTAGGGAAAGTGCCATGATATGTCAAAAGTGTTGTGTTGTAGGACTGAGATTTTTGTCTTATAATTTATTTTTAACTATGTATTTCGAGGAGTAATTAGATATAATATTAAAGTTGTTTTTTTGTGACAATGAGGGCAAAAAAGTAACTTTAATATTGCAGGACAAAAAGAATATCTTGCAACAAAACATCCAATGAATCCTTACAGTAAATAAGTAAAGGGAAAACTTCAAAAAACTCCCTATGAGTTTTCTTAATTATTACTTATTTCCTCACAAATTTTTTGAATCATTTACACCCTTATTTAAATTTTTGTATCACTTACCCCCTGACTTAAAGTTATTTATCATTTACCCCATTCACTTAGGGGGGTAAATGATAAAAAAAACTTTAAGTTAGAGAGGTAAATGATTCAAAATTTTGGGAAGAAATAAATGATTATAAGTAAAATTACAGGAAGGTTTTTGAAATTTTCCCATAAGAAAGTGCTAAATTTTGGGATTACTTTACCTCCTGCCATTGACTATTGGAACAAGTTCTTTATTATTTGTTTAAGGAAAAAAGTTCTTATATGAGCTTTACTTCTCTCGTGTAATAGGAGAAAAATTATCTTATGCTGTGAGACAAATAATGGGAGGTCCACCAAGTTTTTAGACAGAGAAAAAATTATATGAATATAACATGAGAGATGAATCTCATGCAACATGAAAGTGTAGTTTTCCTTCGTATATAAGAGGGAAGCAAAACTTTCTCATGCACTAACATCAAAAATAGCAACTTTCTTTGTTTTTGTTTTTTTAAATAAATGGAACCCACAGAACTTTGTGTCTACGGAATTTTTTTATATCAAGATGCAATCCTTAGTTATAGAATCCGGTTCATAATAATCGGTTCAGGATCTTAGTATATGAAAATACACGCACACTGAAATGTGTAGAAAACAGCCAAAAAGGATGTTCCAAACCTAACATTATAAATTGAAGTGAAATTTGAGTACTGATAGTTCAACTTGTAGCTCTGATACCAATCACCAATTCAGATTCAGATTTGGTACCAATTTCTCATGAAATGTGTATAAACAAGATAAGATGTAACCACAAAACGTGTAACACAATTATACTAGCCATTGATTGTAATTTAATGTCGAAAACCAACCAAAATCATGATTTGTACTGCTGCTAGCTACTGCACGAGTCCAAACACATCAAACAAGAACCATATGGTAAGAGGAGGACATCATGGTATGGGCTGAGATTGTTGTAATGACGAAGACGAACAGATACTGTTTCATAGAACTATGATATTATAGTCTTTGGAGTTGTCTTTTGTGCTTATATGCAGTACATGGAAGTGATTTGAAATTTACTTTTCTTAAATTCTGGGCATGTTTTAGGGTAACAACACTTATACAAAAAATAAAAATAAAAGAATAAATATCATTTTTCGTCCCTGACAATTTTCATGAAGTCCCTTTTGGTCTCCAACAATAAAAAAAGCTCATTTTGGTCCTTAATTTTACAAAAAATAGAGTCACGTTTGTCTTTCCGTTAGTTGGCATCCAACGGCCCAACTAACGGAGCACACGTGGAGCGTTAGTTTGCTGAGTCATCGTTAAGTATGCCAGCGTGAAAGTACTACGACACTGTTTTGAACATGTCTTATGTCTTCTTGGAGTTTTGGACAGCTGACCCTAGCATCGAATACCCTATTTGGTCCCTGACAAATTTATCGAGACCCTATTTGGTCCTTAACACAAAAAAAATGGACATGAACATAGAAGTTGCAAGGCATATTGCAGCAAACCACCAACCACAAACGTTTCAAACCACCATTGCATCAATCCAATGGCCCTATTTTAAATGTATGATAGCAACTTAGTGGAACCTCAATGCTTCTAGAACTTTGTAATCTATCAATCAACTTCATTCATTGATAAGTCAATTAACAGAGAAGATTCATGTTCCTAATGCTCGTAGCCTCAAGCTAAGGATAATGACTTTGATGATGATGTGGAGTTTGTTGTAGGGGTGTAGGGGCAAAAATAATTGACTCCACTTTGCAGGCTTGAAAACACACTGAATTATGGACTAGAGAGAGTTTGGGCTCTTAGATATGTTAAAGGTTCTCCTTGGTAAGCATTTTTGTAGACTTTCTTCATTGATTTCAATTTGAAAGGTATAAGATATTGCTCAGCTGTAATTTTGAAGGCACACATGATTTTATAATTTATTTACATGAATAAAGGGTGTAGGGGCCTTGATGAGTGTGTTAGGTCAAGAATACCAATGCCTAGCATTGTTTCGTTGATGTTTTCTTTTCTCTAATTTTGTTATTTTTTTCAATTTTATGGAGGATCTCTTATCCTCCTAATTATTTGCAATCATCTTCTCTTTATCTTGATGAGTTTCTTCATATGTGACATGTTGATCATTTTATTTTAATTGCCTTGAACTAGTTATATGGTTTCATGTATGATGATATTTTGTAAACATATTTGGCTAAGTTCCCCTGACCCAAATTTTACATTGGACGCCCACCGGAAAGGGGTAAGTTGTGTTGATTACTTTACTGGTGGGGATAAGCGTTATCCAATTACTGGATGTGATGATCATTGATGCCCCCCCTTCTTTGGGACAGTTTGCATTGAACTCACCCAAGCAGTATCTGAAATCGGATAGATCATGACCGCATCAAGAAGTTTCACCACTTCTTTATTATTTAAGCCAACCGGCGCGGATCCGCGCCACTGTGGCGCTGGACCGCGCCATTTCTCTGCCTTTTCTACTGGGACGCGGTGCAAAACCGCGCCATATCAAGGTAAGTCACATGAATATAGGCTAAGTCATCAATCAGGCCACAGGTCATTTATCAACAAAATAAGTTCAGGCTCAAGGAGTTAGCAATGGAAAAATTTCATACATGTGGGCTATTTTGGCCATAGGCTAACAAGAACAAAATGTCTTTATCATTCCAACCAATGCATGCATTACAGAGAAACAGATCAAGTTCTAGAGTGTTACAACAATGAGGTCTCTCAACAAGAAAATTTAGTGTTTAAGCTCAAACCTCACAGCTATGGTAATCCCATTACCTATGCAATGTTATGTCAGAATGTCATACAACATACTTCTTAAAATTCACTCAAGTACATTTAAATCTGAGAATTTTTTTTTATTACAATTGAATCTGAAAATTATTGTATATTCAAATGTGTATAACTGTACAAGAAGGCTCTCTATTTATAGAGACTAAAAGACCTAATGGGTCAAGCCCACAATCTAGACTATTATAATAATAATAGATTAATATTATTTCTAACACTCCCTCTCAAGCTGGTGCGTATATATCAAAAGCTCCCAACTTGTTACAAATATGATCTATTCGGGGACCTCTAAGAGCTTTAGTGAATACATCCGCAAGTTGATCATTCGAATTGACAAATGTTGTCTCGATCGCCCCTAACTGGATCTTTTCTCTAACAAAATGACAGTCAGTTTCTATATGCTTGGTCCTCTCATGAAAGACTGGGTTAGAGGATATATGCAAAGCGGCTTGATTGTCACAAATGAGCTTCATAGGCCGTTGTTCACAGAGATGGAGTTCCTTAAGCAATTGTCTCAGCCAGATGAGCTCACAGGTTGCATTTGCCATTGCCCGATATTCTGCCTCCGCATTGGATCTGGCGACCACAGTTTGCTTCTTACTCTTCCAAGAGATCAAATTTCCTCCGAAGAGAACACAATACCCTGAGGTGGATCGTCTATCTGAAGGAGAACCTGCCCAGTCAATATCTGAATAACTAGAGATCTCTGAACTCCCTTTATTTGTGTATAATAAACCTCTTCCTGGCGCCTTTTTAATATATCGGAGAATTCTAATAACTGCATCCCAATGGGGTCACAGGGAGAATCAAGAAATTGACTTGCAACACTCACTGCGAAGGAGATATCTGGCCTTGTCACAGTAAGATAATTCAATTTTCCAACTAGTCGGCGGTAGCGACTAGGATCTGGCAGTGGCTCCCCTTGTCCTGGTAATAACTTAACATTGGGGTCCATAGGTGTATCAATGGGTTTACAGCCTAACATGCCAGTCTCATCTAGGATATCCAGTGCATACTTCCTCTGACAGATGGAAATGCCCCGCCTAGACTGTGCAACTTCGATCCCCAAGAAATATCAAAGTCTGCCAAGATTTTTGGTCTGAAATTGATTGAATAAATGCTCTTTCAACTGATCAATCTCGGTCTGATCACTGCCTGTAATGATAATGTCATCAACATAGACCAAGAGATAAACGCACTGGCCAGAAGAATTATGCCGGTAAAAGACAGAATGATCGGC